GGGATCGAGTCCCGTGTTGGGCTCTTGGCCTGGAGTCTGCCTGTGTCTCTGCCTCTCTCTCTCTCTCTCTCTCTCTCTCTCTCTCTCTCTCTCTGTGTGTGTGTGGTGTGTGTGTGTGTGTGTGTCTATCATGAATAAATAAATAAATAAATAAATCTTTAAAAAAATAGATTCTCTCTCTCTCTCTCAAATGGGGAAAAATTAGAGAGGAAGACAAACTATGAGAGACAATTAACTCTGGAAAACAAACTGAGGATTGCTGGAGGGGAGGTGGGTTGGGGGATGGAGTAACTGGGTGACCGACATTAAGGAGGGCACGTGATGTGATGAGCACTGGGTGTTATACCACAGGTTGGCAAGTTGAATTTAAATTAAAAAACAAAAGAAAGATGCTTTAAAAAAAAAAAAAAAGATCCTCTCTCCCCCTCTGCCCCTTCCCTCTATGCGCTTCTCTCCGTAAAAACAACAACAACAAACTATCAGTTTTAGGTAGATAAAGAGTGAACTTGGATATTCATGGTGGTTTAATTATTAGTAATGACCCCAATTTACTCACACCTTTCTATACCCATGCTATCTGTTAGTGTCCACTTACTCAGATTTGGTCATTGGGCATGAGATGTGCCTTGGCCCACGGAACAGTGGCAGGCAAGCAATGCAAGCAGAGTCTTGAAAAGCAGCTGCTTTCAAGGGCATTAGTCCTCCCCTTCTGCTGCTTCACTGGCTGCCACTATGTAAATAAGCTCTAGCTGGCCTCTGAATGATGGGACACTTGGCTCCGCATTCCCATCACCCCAGCAAATAAGGAGCCAAATTCTAGACCAGAGTGAGGCCACCCAGATCATGCAGCTTCCAGGATCAGCAATCCCAGCCAAGACCAGCAGATCCGATCCAGATCAGCAGAACCGGCCGTCTGACTCGTAGACTTTTGAACAGTAACACGTGACAGCTCTTTTATGCCACTGAGTTATGGACTGGTTATTACACAGCAATAAATAAATGATATAATACATGTAGGAAATGACAGAACAAAAACATCCTTCCAAGGAACATTAACATTTCCTTGTCATGGATCTGTTGTTAGAGGAAAATTCCTTTGCGGCTAACTAGATTTTCGGTGTAGAGGAACGTCTTGGATATGACCCTTTTCCTACCCTTGGCTTTATAGATATCCTATATATTTGTCAAATGAATAAAAAAATATTATGTGCCAATTAAGTGCCTAGAACAGCACTAGGTGCTGAGAATACACGAGTGAATCAGCTAGACTCCATCTCTATGCTTACTGAGCTTACGCTAAGATCAAGTTATTGGATTATTATAACATACCTTGGGGTACTTGCCATGGAAAATTCTTTGCTCTTCTAAGTCAAGCTGAGTTCTGAAGTTGGCTCCATTTATGTATTTCATCCCATATGGCCATGCTCTTTCCCCTCTCCCAGAAATTCTTCCCCAGTTATATTCATTAGTTCTGTTCATTGATATCTCTATTTCTCATTCCTTGGGGGAACGGGGTGGCATTGCACTTTCCCATGCGCAAAAGTGGCCACAAACTATTTCTTTCCCCCTGGCAATGTGTCTTTCAGCTCTTTTAGTTAGGAGATAGAATCTATTTTACCATCCAATGGCCAAGCCCAACAATGCCTCAGCCATTGGAACTGTAGCAAATGTGACTCTCGCTGAAACTTAAAAAGTGCTCCTGTACGCAGCGGGGCTGTCGCTGCTCTTCGAACTCTGCGGATGCAACCATGGGACGAGCCCGGGCTAGCCTGTGACGACGAGGGACACCTGGCCTGATGGCTCCGTGGCTCCGGCTGATCACAGGCACCTGGGTGAGCCAGCCCAGGCCAGCAGAAGTGTCTGGCTGAGCCTGATGCAAACTGCCATCCCATAGAACCATGAGCTGAAGGAGTAGCTGGTGTCTAAGCTAGGAAGTTCGGAGGGGTTTGTGACGCCCCGAAAGCTGCCCCTTCCCGCCCTTGAAGGTAGGCATGGCCGCGTGATGCGCTTCACCCACTGCACCTTGTCACTCCTGACGGCAGCCTTTAGAGCTGGACTGTGACTCAGCATCTTATTTTTCTTGTCGTGGTGACTCGAGTGCTTCCAGATGGTGGGGCTTCACAAGCCTGGGTCCCTGGTGGACTCGGGGGAGTTCTCTCCATCTCCCCGATACCGACTTTTGGAGAACATGTAGTGTAAGTAAGAAATACTCTTTGTTAAGATGAGCCCTGGGTCTTGTATGTAAGCGATGAATCACTAAATTCTACACCTGAAACCAATTTTACCATGTATGTTAACTAACTAGAACTTAAATAAAAACTTGAAATAAAAAAAAAAAAGAAATCTTTGTATTAAACCTCTGAGACGGGCAGCCCTGGTGGCTCAGCGGTTTAGCGCCGCCTTCAGCCTGGGGTGTGATCCTACAGACCCGGGATCGGGTCCTGTGTTGGGCTCCCTGCATGGAGCCTGCTACTCCCTCTGCCTGGGTCTCTGCCTCTCTCTCCCTGTGTCTCTCAGGAATAAAGAAATAAAATCTTAAAAAAAAAAAAATAAAAAAAAACCAAACCTCCGAGACTTGGGGTTACTATTACTCAAGCGTAACCCAGTCCATTCTGACTAATGTAGAAACTGGTACCCAGGAGTACAGTTATGACAGAAAACCTAAAATATGTAGCTGTGACTTAGAAACTCCGTGGGTGGTAGCAAGGAAACTATTGTTAGAGGCTGGAAAGTTGGCAATCCATGCTGGCTGTGGTAAAATATTTGCTAAAACTATTCATGTGTATCTCCCATTCTTCCCCTTTCTAAATAGGAACGTTTACCACGGTTGCTCTGTCCCTGCGGCACACCCTATGTTGAGTGCGCGTGTGGGTTTAAACAGGGAGGATAGGGACTTTCTCTTCAATAAGAGAAGCTTTATCCTGGTCTAATACAGGGACTACCCAGCATCGCCCAGAGATGCTGAACTTTGCAATTAATGCCATAATTACTGAATGTTTAGATTGCCTCATTTGTGAAAGGGATGAAGGGATTTTATAGTGTTAGTTGAGTGAACTGTAAATTGGTGACTAGAAGAATGGATTGCAACGCTCTTTGGTGCAGCTCACCGGTAAATGTGGGTTAGCTTCCTTCTGGGCAAATAGAATGACGCTTCCCTGCCCCTTTGAAGGTAGCATGCCCATGTGATTTGCTTTCGTCAAAGAAATGCGAGTGGAATTGACTCGTATAACTTTCAGGAAGAACCAGTTTGCCATCCACGGGTCCTTTGCATATCACGCAAGTGGGGAAGTTCTAGAGATTGGAGCCTTCTGGTTGCTTGGTGAGAACCATCTGTAGTGAAACTCCCCCTGCCACTCCCCCACAGCTCCCCGTGTGCAGGCAGGGAAGCAGGAAATACCTTTTTTGTTTTTGTTGTTGTTCTTTTAAGCCCCTACAGTTTTTAGATTTTTTTTTGTTACTGCGCTATAACCCAGCCCATCCTGACTAACATAGGCCGCTGTAAAAGTCATCAGGGGAACTCCGAAGGCTGGTCACCCTGGCAACTATGAGTGGAACCTGTCACGGAAAACCATCCACTCACGATTCCAGAAAGCACCTTCGCTAGCGGTTTCACTTGCTTCTCCGATTGTGACCATTCTGGAGGAGGTGACCGTGAAATTCACATGTCATCCTTCTTTCTTCGGGAAAATGTATCTTCACTATTGAGAGGTAGTGATGAGCAAGGAAGTGCTTTCTGGTAGGAAAAAGAAAAAGCAAGTAAGCAAGCGAGCAAGCGAGCAGGCCAAGAGGGACAAGCCACAAGCCAGGAAGGGTAGAGCTAGCTGAACGCATAGGAGTTTCCATGAAGAATAAAACCTATTTCCCCAAAAACATGTGCATGGATTCCCAGGCATGCACGGCACCTCTCAGCAGACCTTGGGTGTCTTAGCTTTGGGTGCACCCCTGCGCAGGGCCGGGAAGCCCTGCACAACCACGCTGTTGCAAGCGCAAGAAATGCCATTGGAGTTTACATCCAATCAAAAGTTTCCCCAAAAAGGGGGGAGGGGGGGAAGCAAAAGAAAAAAAGAAAGTGCAAAAGTTTTCCTTCTCTGTCGAGGAGGAGCAGTCTCTGCAGCAGAGCGTGAGGCTGATCCCAGGTTTGTAACTGCGGGCCCACGCGCTAACGGGGCGCGCCCTGCAGGCGTCTGCGTCTGGCGGGGCGCAGTTTGCGGTCCGGGGGTGGGGGGTTTCACCCGGACACACCCAATCCCGTCGCAGGTAATTTTGCGCGGAGGGCGCCCCACCTTTTCCCGCGGTGCTCGCAAATGCTGTTCCCGAGAGCCTGCGGCCGGGCCGCTGAAGCCGCGGGGGCACCTGTGATGCGGCCCCAGGACCGGCTCGAGCTTCCCCGCGCGGCGGGGCCCCCGGGGAGCCCCCCGCCCCCGAAGTTCCCGGCGCTGGGAGCGCGCATCGCAGCCCGAGCCGGAGCCGGAGCCGGAGCCCGAGCCCTCGGCGGGGGGGGGGGGGAAGGGGGGGCGCCCTCCCACGGGGAGCCCCGGGGCGCGAAGGCGGCTGCACCGCGAGCCCGCGCGCCGCGCCGAGGCGAGCCCCCCGTGAGAGCCAGGGAGTGCCCGCCCCCTCCCGGCGCGGGACTACAAGGACCGGCATGCACCGCGGCGCGGCGGCCGGCTCCGCTCCGGGACCGCGGCGCAAGGGAGCCTGGGAAGTGAAGTCCCCGGGCGGCCCCGAGTCGCGTCGCCGAGTCGGCGGGGGAGGCGTTGCTCGTGCGCTCCATCGGCGCGCGGGTCCCTGGCCGGGCTCCGCGCTCAGGATTTTCGCGGGCGGCGGCGGCGGCGGCGGCGGCGGCGGCGGCGGCGGGGAGCAGGATGGCGAGCCGGAGCACAGCCCGCGGGCGGGGGCGGGGCGGGGCGGGGCGGGGCGGGGCGGGGGCGGGGCCGGCGGAAGCGGCAGGTTGCTCCCTCCCCCCCGCGCCGCCTCGCGCCCGCCCCGCCGGGAGCGCAGGGAGGGGGCGGGCAGGGCCGAGGGAGGCTAGTGACACGTGTCAATCAACCCCCCCGCGGGGGGCGCGCGCTCCGGGGCTCGCGCCGAGGGCTCGCGCCCCTGCCTCGTGCCTGCGCCGCTCGTATGTAAATGAGGGCGCGTGACGCGGGACGCAGATGGACAAGGGGAGAGAGAGAATGGCCGCTGCCGCCGCCGCTGCTGCCGCCGCCGCTCAGTGCCGGAGCCCGCGGTGCGCGGCGGAGAGGAGAGGCTTCCGGCGGGAGCTCGACTCGTGGCGCCACCGCCTCATGCACTGTGTAGGTAAGACACCCGCGGCCCGCCCGCCCGCGCCCCGCCCTGCCCCGCCGCTGCCCCGGCCCCGGCCCCGGCCCCGGCCCCGGCCGCCGGCTCGGGCTCGGGCTCGCCGGGGTCCCGCTCCGGGCCGCCCGGGAGCGCGGCGGGAGCGCGGCGGCGGCGGCGGCGGCGGCGGCGGCGGCGGCCCCGGCGCTCGCCTTTTGTCTGCGGCCCCGGGGGCTCGGCCGCCGGCGGCCCGGAGCTGTTGGCCGGAACTCCGCGGCGCGCGCTGTCGGCGGCGGGCGGCCCGGGGCGGGCGGGAGGCAGGCCGGCCGGTCCGCGCCCCCGCCGGGCGCTCACGCCCCCCGCCCCGCCGCGGCCGCGGCCGCGTCCCCGTCCCCGTCCCCGTCCCGGTCCCGGTCCCCGTCCCCGGGGCCGGCACCGGGGGCCTCCGGGGCGCTCGCGGGGCGGGGCGCGGGCGGGGGGCGCGGGCGGGCCGGCGGGGGCGTCGCCCGAGGGGCGGGGGCGGCGGCGGCGCGGCGCGGTGTGTGCCCCTTTAAGACGGAGCCGCTCGGCGCTGACGGTTGGGATTTGAAGTTCTGCCTCCCTGTTTGGAAGTCGGGACGGACGGGGGGCGTCGCCATGGCGACGGCGCCCGCGCCCCCCGCCGCGCCCCCCGCCGCGCCCCCTCCCTGTGCGCTCGCGGACGCCGGGCGACCGGCCCTCGGCTGCTGCCGGGCGATGGGCCGTCCCCGCGCGCCCGCCCGCCCGCCGCCGCCGCCGCCGCCCCCCTGCGCCCGCCTCCCTCGGAGCGGCCCGGGTCCCCCGGCCGCAAACTTCGGGGCTCGGGGGCACGGGGCGCCGGGGATCCCCCGCTGCGGAGGCCGCCCGTCCGTCGGGGTGAGCCGGGCGCGAGGAGCTGCGACCCGGCGGGTCGGCGTGAGCGCCCGGGGAGGGGGGGGGGGCGCCGGGGGCATCGTCTGCGGGAGGCGCGGGCCGAGACCCGGGCGCCTGCAGGTGAGCAGCAGCCCGCGCGCTCGGGCCCCTGCGCCCGCTGCCCTCGGCTCGCGCGCCCCCGCCCCCGCCCCCGCCCCCGCCCCCGCCCCCGGACTTGTTTGCTCCGCGCCCGCAGATCTGCCTCGTCCCCCGGCGCAGGGGGTGGGGGTCGCGCTGGGATCCTGGGATCCAGTGGCCCCGCTCGGGGGATCGCGCCGGGATCCACTGGCCCCGCTCAGCGCCCGAGGATCTGCCTCGTCTTCCTCTCCCCCCACGGCGCAGGGGGGATCGCGCTGGGATCCACTGGCCCGCTCGAGGCCATGCGGACGACGTCAGCGCCCGAGGATCTGCCTCGTGTCCCCCCCCACCCCCCTCCGGCGCAGGGAGGACCGCGCTGGGAGCTCGGCGGGTGCAGGGCCGCGGGGATTCGCACGCGAAGGAAGGGCGCCCCGCGGGGGCCGTGGGGTTCACTCTACCCAACGAACTGTTCAGCCCTTATAAAACACAGTTTGGTCTCGTTTAAGGAAATATTCTGGGAAATCGGTGTAGTCAAGTTTTTCTAGGCGGTTGTAGTTCCTAGGGAAAGTTAAAAAAAAAAAAGAAAGGCAGAAAGAAAGAAAGAAAGAAAAAGATTTTAGACCCTCACGGCATTCTTTTATAAAAATGTCAAGTTTTGCTAGTGCTTCCTGAATACAAAACGGACCCATTTTTAGGATTGCTTCAAGACCCCTTCCGCCGACAACCTGTCTAGAAATTGTGGCGCTCGCTGCTGAGATCAGGCGGGATGACCGCGTGGGGACCCGGGCTCAGGACGCGGCGACCTGCGGGTCTAACCGAGGCGGGGACGTACGTGCACCGGCTTCCGCGGGGCTTCTGTTTGGGGATACTTCGGGATTTTTCCCTTATCTCCTTGTTTAGACACATTAAGTATGGCTCTATATATCAAAAAAAAAAAAAGTAGTTTTGAAAAATAGTCGAGTTTTAAACAGGACTTTGGATTTGATGGAAAAAGGGATTTCGAATATCTTTCTGCCCTGTCTATTCAGACATACAAGTAGGATTGAAAGACCTTGAAACCTGAGCTACGTGCTGTCTAACATGCAAGCTCTATATTATGTTTTTAATGTAATGTGATGTAGAACTGTACTGTATTTGAAAGGAGATTTTTTTCCTGGTCTCTTTCTGTATTTGAGAATTATTTCCCGTAGTCCCAGTCAGGAGACCTAGTAAAACCCATCTCATACTTTGTTTTTGTCACTGTTGTTTTTAAGTAAGCAGTAAAACTCTTTTAAACGGGATATGCACTTGTTGATTGGGTTTTTTCAGTATCATATATGTGAAGACCTTATCTATAGTGTGAATTAGGATTAAATGTATTTTGTGTGACTTTTAAGTTGTCTTTTGCTGTTGGCATGCTTATATTTAATAATTAACTTGGTAAACATATTTACAAAAAAGCCATGTTGTCTTTCCTTTTGGGTGTGTGTGAATATTTATATGTGTATATTTCTATATTTAATATATTTAGTGCTCTTATTGCTTGAAATCATCTTTATGAATTATACTCTCTACCTTTGGAAAAGAAAATCTTCCAAAAAGTCTTATTTTTATATGAGACTGAAAGCAGTGTCTCTTGTAAGCAGTGTCCCTAGGCTTATACAGCAAATTAGTATTGAGCCAGTAGTGAAATTTTGAGTCTCAGTTCTTGACCTAAGTTTTTTTTTTTTTTTTCTTTTAAGATTTTACTTATTTATTCATGATAGGCAGAGACAGGCAGAGGGAGAAGCAGGCTCCCATGTCCGGAGCCCGACATGGGACTCGATCCCAGGACTCCAGGATCACGCCCTGGGCCAAAGGCAGACGCTAAACCGCTGAGCCACCCAGGGATCCCCTTCGCCTAAGTTTTTAAAGTAATCTGATTTTTTTTTTTAATGACTCCTATATAAATTCTAATTTCAAAGGGGAAAAAGTTCATTTTGGTTGTCATGACTGCCGGTAGTGAGCTAAGATGTTTAACTCAATATGGAAGGTTATGTCTGCTTTCCTCTATTTGTGGAACTCCTGTCTTTAGGTTAGATTTGTGACTACTCTGTGATTCCTCGTTTTTCTTTTTTACAATTTAATTGAAAAGTTCTACAGACTCTATGTCCTAGTTAATAGCTCTATTTATAATGTGCTTTTTATAATTTAATAGTTTTTCTGTAATCGTCCTATGCAATGCTATAATGTTGAGTATACTCAGCTAACAAATGTTTGAGCGCTTATCGGGTATAGTAAATAGCATCCTGGTACTCGGTATGACATTGAGTGATAACAGTCTTGGGTCTTATGGAATTTATAATACAGTTAGTATCTGACAATACATTAAATTTAAAACAAAGTCAGGCATAAAAGTAATGCATTAGCATATTTTTAAATGTTACCAGGTATTGTATAGTCTACTAGGATATTCAGTCTGGGAGATAGGCCAAGTTCTTTGTTTTTCTACTTTTTGCTAACTTTTAATTTTGATGAAATTTCAAATTTACATGAAAAGTTGGAAGAATAGTACAAGGAATTCCTGTATACACTTAACCATATTCACCAATTGTATTATATTTTGCTGCATTTATCGTTCTTGTCTTATGTCTATTTTTTCTTCTGAACTATATGAGGATAATTTGGTGACATCATACCTCTCTGCCCTTAAATTCTTCAGTGTGTATTTCCTAAGACCAAGGACATTATCTTGCCTAACTACAGTGTAATTATTAAAACCAGGAGACTTAAAATGACATAATACAGCTATCTATTTCATAATCTGTGCTCAATTTTTAATCTCTTTTATCTCCAAGCTCCCTCCCACCTCCCAGTCCTGGATCATGTATTGCATTCAGTAGTACTGTCTCCGTAGTCTCTCTTAATCTGGAACACTTCCTCAGCCTTTCTTGTATTTCTTGGCCTTGACATTTTTAAAAGTACAGGATGGTTATTTTGTAGAATGTCCCTAATTTGAATTTGTCTGTTGTTTTCTCGTGACTAGATTGGTTATACATATTTGGCAGGAACACCTCTAAAGAGAGGTTCTTTATCAGTACATCATATCTTGAGGTTCGTGATGTTGGTTTGTCCCAATGTTGGTGATGTTAGCTTTGAAAATTTGGCTACGGTGGTATTCTCTGTATTTCTCCCTGGAAGTTACTATTTATCCTTTTGTAATTAATGTGTAATTTGTGGGAAAATATTTTGAGGAACAGAATATTTACATAGTCTCACCAATATTTCACCCACAAGTTTTAACATCTACTTGTGATTCTCTAACTTCATCGTTCCTTCTGTAATTAGTACTTGGTATTCCGTCATAAAGCAATCTTTCCCATCTCCTCCACTGTTTATTTTATCCAGTTACTTTTATCAGTATGAACTCATGGGTTCTACTTTTATTTAATGGTTCAATCCATTACTGTCATTACTTTGATTCCCAGATTGCCTCAGGTTTGGTCTCTGGGAGCCTCATGAAGCTGCTTCCAGTGTTTTTTGACAAGTCCACCTCTCAAACCCCTTTCACCCTCATCTCTCAAATGACTTTTGAGCACACACTTCCTGCCAAGATATTCCAGGTTCATCTTGTGTTTACCCTATCCCAGCCCCCATGTAAGACATTTCTCCAAGGAACCCTCCATTCTTTTTAGTGGAGGATAGGTTTAGATACCAAAATCTGAACACTAGGTTTTAGGACTGTTTTTTTTTTGTTGTTTTGTTTTGTTTTTTAGGACTGTTTTTAAACCCCATTTTTCTGGGCAGCCTGGGTGGCTCAGCGGTTTGGCGCCTGCCTTCAGTCCAAGGCCTGATCCTGGAGTCCCGGGATCCAGTCCCGCGTCGGGCTCCCTGCATGGAGCCTGCTTCTCCCTCTGCCTGCCTGCCTGTCTGTCTGTCTCTCTCCTCTCTGTGTCTCTCATGAATAAATGAATCTTTAAAAAAACAAAAACAAAAACATTTTTCTGATACAGAAGCTAATACTTAGTGTAACTGATATGTCTAAGGGGGCAACA